GCAAGTTCAGATGAAGCGACGGCATAATGAGTGGCTGTTTTGTTCTACTTTTGCACCATACATTATGGTATTTACATTACTACATCATTGGTATCATTTTTGTTTGAAAATCATACCACATAATAGCAGCAACGGCAAAAATAGCATTGAGAACCCGGTTCCAAATAGCGTTCTGCATTGTTGTCAAGTGTGACGTCATAAAAACCTGACGTCAAACATTACGCTTCAAATTCCTACACTTTCTGATGTAGCAATATTTAATTTTAAAATTGTATTAAAAAGAAAATATATAATTTTCCGGTTGAACATTAGATATGAATTTCACCCGTTTAACAAATATGTAATTTCTAGCGTTATGGCGGATTGTGTTTTCGTAGAGGACTAGAGAGGTAACAACACTTTGACAATTATCCTCCACCAGATATAAACATTTTACATAAAATTTAATTAAAAAGGAGCTGTCACTTAAACTTAAACCCGAGAGACAGTTAATAGTTTATTTAAAAGTGCATTATTAAATAATGTCTTTGTAATAAAGAACGGCAAGTACAAATCATATGCTTTGTCCATTATATCTGAAGTGTTTCGAAATATACATGTACTTTAAATAGGACGTAAAACACAAAACAAACCAAACCAAACCGATGAGTCTAAGAAATTTGTCATAGTTAATGAATACAAATCTTCTAACCCGTCATTTGGTCATTATGGCTATGAAAAAAAGGCTGATACATGTGTATGAACAGAAAGGTCAAATTAGCTAGTAGGAATAACAAACAAAAACAAGTATTTTCTGGAATATTTATCAAATTATACAAAAAAATATTTGATTATTAAAGACAATATTCTGATTAATATATATTACTGAAAAACATATTTTACCATAAAAATGCGTCCGCAATAACATACAATTAGCTCGAAAGCATGATTTAAACTCGCCGTTTAACAAACGTATGCCTGAAAAAAATAAAATCCAAATAGTGTATCATAAATTTACTTTATACACAAATATGTCTGTATAAAAGTGTCGTAACGTTTCAAGACCGACTCGTCCTTGTGTCAAGCAGTTACTAAGTTAGCGATTTGCATGATTTATCTGTACAAATATGGGACGAAATTGTAACTGGATTTTAATTGATAGTATTGAGTATATACAAGATACAACAAGCTAATTAACATTTTAAACCAAACGATATATTACAAAGGTATTGGATACAGTTTTAATAAAAGTGATAGCTTAGCTCTAAGGAGATAAAAACAATAAGTAAAACAGATTTATTTAAAAAAAAAATGAATATCTGAAATTTAATAAAAGATATCTCTTCTTCATATAATAAGGATTATATAAGATATATCCATTGTTAATATGATCTTTCCCAAATTGATAGAAAGCGTTTATTATATATCTCTAAATTGATAGAGATATCTAGAGATATCTCAGTGTGTTTATGATATACCTCTAAATTGATAAAAAAAAATAACACAGTGTTTATTATATATCACTTAATTGATAGAGATATATTGATTATTCATAAAATGTTAAGTTGACTTCACATAGTGTCAAATAGGTTGTTAGTTAGGTGTATGTCTTGAAACGTTGAGAGATCCTTATATATACATTGTCTGTGAAAATAATTTATTCATTGAATCATAATATTCCAAAAGTACCGTGGAATCTTCTTGAAGTTATAATGATAATATATATATCAATCTGAAATATATAAATATTCATTTAGAGCATATGAAAAGCTATAAACAATCAATGTACATGGCTTGAAATACACAAAAAACTAATAAATTCCCCGGAAAATTAGAAATTGAAGATATATGGAGAAGGAATCTGTGTAAAATAACTTTTCCAATAAGAAGATCAAACAAAAGATTTAAATGCAAGCGTTGTATCTTCTTCTATAGAGTTCTGTCTATTTGCTTAATCAGAAAATTATGGCATCCCCTGTTTGAATATCAAACTATCTAATAGCCAAACAGGACGAGTTCCTTTCGAAAATGAGCAAAATGAAAACAGGCAGCAATCAATTTGAAAACGTATACATATCTGGAATAATGGAAAACACATAAGCACAGGTATATATAAATCAAAGAATGGTGAGATAACGAAAAGTAAAGTTATTTGTATAACAACAAATATAGTATTAAATGTAAATGAAAAACAAATAAAGTGATTTAAAAGTCAGTTTCAAATACGGATGTTAAAGAAATATAGTAGAGTCAAAAGTATTGAACAATGGCTAGAAGATTAATATCAACAAAAGACAACAGCTGCTAGAATTAGACCAATAGCAGAATGGTGTGAAGAAGGGACAAAATCAACGGACTACTTTTTAGACTCGAAAAAAATAAAGGTTGAAGCCAAAATAAGCAAGTGTGCGGTAGATTCCCAGCTATTTTTGGGTACAGAAAACAGTCTTCCTTAATTGTTTAAAACTTTGAATAAATACAGAATTGTCTCTGGTGCAAACAATAACCATCAGAAAATAGGAGGCACGTACATAGTGACTTTGAAAAGTAGACCGCCAACATATGATAAGATTGAATGGTTACAAACATGTTAAGGTTTAAGAGTTATCACAGGTACAATACTGATGAAGTTTCACTACGAAAAACAAAAATAAAGCTTTAAATAGAAAGACATTGATTTGAGGATGGAAAAAACGAAAACTTACTTTGCAAAACAATACTCATAATGTAATCCCTGATACTGTCCTCAATGACATATGAGACAGCTCAAACAATGATACCAACTAAACATAAACCGATAAATAACCAATATCCCATGGAAAAGTCATCCAAAGAAACCTGCTTAATAGACAAATAAAAATGTGAACTTAAATGTACTGATATAGCTATATATATAGAGAAAAAAAATATGAAAAATATATATATACAAATTCGATCACACAGAGCAACAGGCTTGGAACGCATTGGGCAGGTATTGGTTTCTAAAACATGACGAAAAATTTGGTGTTCATCTTTTCATTTGCAAATGCAGCAACACAAAATCTTTTGAATTCTTTCAAATACATTTACATTATTGGCAATTTTTATCAACGTCGTTATCCAAGAAAACAAAAATCCGGAAAAGTCGATATTTAAGAACAAATGTTATTTAGTAATAACAAAACAGTTTCAAAACCGACTCTCTTTAGTGAAGCAGTTACTAAGTAAGCATTTTGCATGTTTTTATCTGTACAACTATGTGACGAAATTGTAAATGGATTATGATCCCTCTTCTACGGGACAGTATCAAGTAACCACAACAAACAATCAACATTTAATACTCAACAATAGATTGCAAAAGTATCGAATACATTTTTAAGTAAAATACAGACAGCCTAGCTTCAAACAAAAAACAAAAAATAACATATTTATTGAAAGAAAAGAAAAATAGAGAAAAAAAATCCCACATAATACGGATTATATAAGATATCTCCATTTTTAATAAGATCTTTCTTAAATTGATAGAAAGCGTTTATTATATATCTGTTAATTGATAAAGATATCTGGGAGTATTTATTATATATGTCTCAATTGATGAAGATATCTCAGAGCGTTTATTATATTTCTCTAAATTATATGATATCGGAGTTAAGACCTAAGATTCTGTAACATAATCATAAGTTGGACCGAGACTTGGACAACCAGATCTGGCTCAGTTATAGGTAATTGGTTTTTTGCTGGCTTCTTCTAGTTTGAAAAAATACTCGATTTCGCTCAAGTCTACAAAGTATCCCGTCTTGTGCCTCAAATAAATATAGCCTCTTCACTTCAAGCTATGTTATATTTCAGTGTAGATAATATTTTATTTATATCATTAGGTATCAAAAACAATACATTTGGCAACTAAACAGAACTTAGATACGAGACATATTTAGGTAATACTGAATTGCCGTATACATTTGGTGTGCCTTTAAGTATGCATCCG